TTCAGAGCTACTCCACACATTAGATCAAATAGACATGGTTTATATCTACAGAGTATTTCATCCAACAACTAGGCAATACACATTCTTTTTTGCAGCTCATGGAATTTTCTCCAAAATAGATCATATTTTAGGACACAAAGCTAGTCTTAACAAATTCAAGAAGATTGAAATAACCCTCTGCATCATATCAGATCACAGTGGAATAAAACTAGACCTTGACAACAAAAGAAACCCCAGAAAATATTCAAACACAGGAGACTGAACAATACACTGCTGAAAAACCAATGGGTGACCAAAGTAATAAGGAAAGAAATCAAAGTTTCTAGAATCCAATGAAAACGAAAATACAACCTACCAAAATCTGTGGGACACAGCAAAGGTCATGCTATGGGGAGAGTTTATAGCTGTAAGTGCCTACATTAAAAAGAGACGTCTCAAATAAACAATCTAATGGTGCACTTAAGTTCCTAGAAAAAAAAAAGAACAAACCAAACCCCAAACGAGCAGATGGAGAGAAATAATAAAGATCAGGGCTGAGATCAATGAGATCAAAACCAAACAAGCTACATAAAGAATCAATGAAAGAAAAAGTTGGTTCTTTGAAAAGATTAACAAGATCAACAAACCCTTAGCCAAAATGACAAATTGGAAGAGGGAGAAGACACAAAATAATAAAATCAGAGATGAAAAAGGAGACATAACCACAAATACTAACACAATTCAGATAAATCACTAGAGAGTACTTTGAAAATTTATATTCAAGTACACTGGAAAATCTAGATGAAATGGATAAATTCCTAGATGCATATATCCAATCAAAATTGAACCAAGAAGATATTAATCACCTAAATAATCCTATTACATGCAATGAAATTGAAGCAGTAATAGAGTCTGCCTACAAAGAAGAGCCCAGTACCTGATGGATTCATGGCTGAGTTTTACCAAACCTTTAAAGAAGAACTAACCCCAATACTCCTCATAATTTTCCAGGAAATAGAAAGGGAAGGAATACTACCAAATTCATTCTATGAAGCCAGCAAACAGCCCACAGGATGGGAGAAAATCTTTGCTAGCTACTCATCTGATAAGGGACTACCATCCAGAATCTATAGGGAACTCAAAAAACTCAGCCCCCAAAGAATCAACACCCCAATGACTGGGCACATGAATTAAACAGGGAATTCTTAAAGGAAGAGATACAAATTGCCCAGTAAATACATGAAGAAGTGTTCAACTTCCCTGGTTATAAAAGAGATACAAGTCAAACAACACTTAGATTTCATCTCACCCAAGTTAGAATGGGTAATCAAGGGTAGCAACAACAACAAATGTTGGTGAGGATGAGGTGAAACAGGGACCCTTATACACTGCTGGTGGGAATGCAAAATTAGTACAATTACTATGGAAAGCAGTACAGAGATTCCTCAAAAAACTAGAGCTAGAACTGCCATATGATACAGTGATACCACTCCTGGGCATCTACCCAAAAGAATGTAAGACAGAATACAGTAAAGACACTTGTACACCGATGTTCATCGCAGCACTATTCACAATAGCCAAGCTATGGAAACAACCCAGATGCCCTACAACTGATGAATGGATGAGAAATTGTGGTTTATATACACAATGGAGTATTATTCAGGCACAAAGAATAATGATATGTGGTTGGAAGGTAAATGGATGCAATTGGAGGACATCATGTTAAGTGAAGTTAGCCAGGATCAAAAACACAAAAGGCACATGTTTTCTCTCACATGTGGAAGATAGATCCAAAGATAAACATACACACACACACACACACACACAAAAAAGCCAAAGCATGATCATATACAAACTCAGAAGTGGAACATGTCTGTAATAGTGGAACTCCTCTATGGAACTCAGGGAAAGAGGGAATGGTAACGAGAATGATAGAGCACCAGTAATATCGCATAACATAAGATGTGAAGGTAGAGGATATAAGCATGTGTATTGAAAGCTATTGAAAAATGGGGGTGGAGGTAAAGGGGAAGGGAGAGCAATTAAAGGGATTAAAAAGCCCAAAGTAAAGCACACCCACAGTGGCAAACATTGAGACACCCCTTTGAATGTCAACATAAATAAATATAATGAAAACCAGGACTGTAAAATAGGCACTGTGTGTGTGTGTGGCAGGTACTAGTGGGAGGGGGAAGGGTGAGGGAAGGAGATTAAGGCAATGGTATACAGTTGATGGACTTCATATACTTATATGAAACAGAACTAAAAAACCTCTTGCAATTGCTTTGGGTGGGGTGGGGAGGAGGTGGGGCGGGGGGAGATGATGGAGGAAATGTAAATAACGTATAATATAAGTCTGATCACAATTGTCACTTCAAATCCACCTCATACAATGAATATATTCTAATAAAAATTTATAAAAAAGAAATACAGAGTTTTTAACTTATTGAAGCCACCATAAGAAGGGGACTAAGGTAGAAAGAAGAAAAATAGAGATGAACCAATTCTGGTTATAATACATGGGAATAGCACAAGGAAACTCCCTATGTAGCTATTTTAAACAAACAAAAATGTTGCTTGTCTTTTTAAAAAATTTACAAATATCGGAGAACAGGAGGGTGGAACAGGTCCTTCATGGTGGGGGGAGTTGGTACCAGTAGGAGGGGGGGAAGGGTGTAGGAGGGTAAATATGGTGCAAATACTGTGTGCACGTGTATGTAAATGGAAAAATGAGACCTGTTGAAACTATTCCAGGAATGGGGGAAGGGAAGGATAAAGGAGAATGGTGAGAATTTTTGTAAAAGCCACAATGTACCCACAGCCAGCACAACAATTAAAAAAAAAAAAAAAAAAGAGAAAGAGAGAGTCTAGAAATAACAAGGAAGTTAGTAATAGCAAGTTGCAGGATATAAAGTCAATATATAAGAATCAACTATGCATCTACATACTAACAACAATCAAATTGAACTTATAAAAACAATTACACTTACTATAGGATCATAAATCTGAAATACTCAGAGACAAATCTAACAAAAGATGTGAAAGGCCTGTAGCTTCATGGTACACTTGCCTAACATGTATGAAAGCCTCAGTTTGATACCAGCACTGCAGAAAAGAAAAAAGGAAACAGAAAAGAAGAAAATGTATTTGTGACCTGCCTGTTTAGGCAGATTTCTTAGATAAAATATCAAAAGCACAATCCATAATAGGAAAGAAGAAAGACAATACTAAGAAAATGAAAAGCCAAGCCAGTGATTAGTATAAAAATATTTGAAAATCACATATTCGACGAAGGACTTCTTCAATACATATTAAAAAAATCTAACTAAAAAAATTGGCAAAAGAGTTGAATAGATACTTCACCAAATAGGATGTGACTTGCAAATAAACACTTGAAAAGAAGCTCGGCATTGTTAGGCCTCACTTAGAGAAATGTAAATTAAACCACCAGTCAATACCTCAAGTCTATTAGAACATCTGAAATTAGTGACATGGACCACAAGGAGTATTGGTGATGGTACAGAAAACTGAAACTCTCAAACACTGCAAATAGGAATGTAAATGGTACAATCTCCATGGAAAAGAGTTTCTTCAAAAGTTAAATATACACCTATATCTGCCATATGAACCAGATGTTGTACCCGTAAGTGTTTATCTAAGAGAAAATAAAGCATATGTCTACACAAAGCCTTGTCCACAAATTTTCACAGCAGCTTTAAGTCCCCAAATTGGAAACAACCAAATATTCAGCACCAGGTGAATGGATAAACAAACTGTTTTGCATTCATACAATGGAATACTAGTCAGCAATGAAAAGAAAGAAATTACCAATATATATAATAATCACATTGAGCAAAATGTCAGAAAGAAAAAGTATATATACTGTAGGATTTTATTTTTATAAAAGTCTAGAAAATATAAACTAATATACAATGAGAGAAAGGTGATCAGTTGTTCCCTTAGGAGTGGAGGTTTCAGAGAGGCATTGTAAGGGAGTGCAAAGAAACTTGGAAGTGATGGATGAGTATGTTCTCTGTAAGAACTGTGATCAGGCATATACAAGTCAAAGCTTACCAAACTGCATATTTTAAACAGGTACAGTTTATTGGAATATATTCCAATAAAGCTGTGAATGAATGTTATAGTCCCTATAAATGAGATGTTTGCATCTCAGGAAAAACCCTTTCAATTGGTTAATTATTTGAGCACAGGAGCATCATGAATCCTTTCTCAATGAATGAGTCAAAATTTTACAGTGTCATCTGAGTGGTATGGACTTCAATTTATTACAACATTAAATCCATTATACTCAAAATCTCCCATTCATCCATGTTGATCAAAATTAACTAACCAGCTGACAATGCTTCTCTTTGTGCAAACACAGCCCCAGAAGGAAAGTCACTAAGCTGGAAAAGTCAAATCAGCCCTTTCTATGATCACACCGAAATCCATGAATACCTGCAGCTGAGTCAGAAGTAAAGACAAATGAATGTATATTAAAAAAAAAAAAGGATAACACATTAGCTAGGGGTGTGGCTCAAGTGGTACTGTGCCTGCTTAGCAAGCATGAGGCCCTGAGTTCAAACCTCAGTACCACCACACACACAAAGAATAAAACATTAAGGGAGAACTGTAATAGTGGTAAGTGCAGAAGACAAATATATCTACAGAAACACATTTTAGAATTTGTATTGGACTTAAGTTTTTAGGTATAGAGATTATTATAAAGGATAAATGGGTTCTATTCTGGGCTAAAAGTAGGAGTTGAGGTTATATGGGAAACAGGAAACTCTTAAATTAATTCATACACTTCATAATAATAAAACTCATTAATGATTTCTGAGAGAAGAAAATGCAACCTCTCTTTCTAGGTCGGAGACGGAAAAAATGGTGAGGCTGGAGATAAAAGCTAGCAGTGGACTCTGCTGACTCAATGGAATGTGAAAACAAGCACAATGTGTCAATAAAACTCATCTCTGCTATTCCCAGGGAAAATCACTTGTCAAAAACAACATACATACCATAAAAATTTTCCAAACACAGTAAATAGAGAAAAAGTAACCCAGAAAATTAAAGTATTTTCCCTTGAAAGTTTTGGAGTATTCTATTCTCTCCTGAGGAAAAACAAACACATGGTTAGTTTCAGCAAAATATAAATTTATTTCCCACAGAAGTATTCCTCCTTCTATCACTGTCAAGTCACTGTTTAGGCTGAGTCAAAAAACTATATATGGCAATAGCAGTTACTGCTATAACATTTATTAAATGTCTACTTTAAGCCAGAGATTGAGACAAACATCTTGACATGCACATCAACATTAATCTTCATTAACAACTCTTATAAGACATGTTCTAATTTTACAGATGAGAAAACTGAGTCTTCAAGGGTAATTAAATTGCTCAGGGTCACACAGCTGGTGAGTACGCTCAGGTCTGTCTCCAAAGCTTTTGTTAACCTCTATTCTGCATAATGCTACCCCTGTGAAGTTACCCTCAGGAAGGATTAAGTTTGCAACCTTAATTAACATATTTTGCACTTATAAATTAATATTGCATTTTAGGTGTACAGCGGAAGTTTCTTCTCATAGTTTGGAGAGTTCTAGTTCTGAGTCCTTTAAAATAGGTTTAGACCACAGCAGTTAGGTATCTACTACTCTTGTAATATTACTAACTTGTAAGGAAAAAAAAAAAAAAAAAAAACAGAGGAGCTACCGTCTTTATCCAGGTCAGTAGGAAGTGGTGTGTGGCAGCTTCCAAGCTGTTGAAAGCCTCTTCTGATTCCCTTCAATTTCTATCAATTAAGAGCGTTCCATTAAGGATTTTGCCAGTGATAGGAGTGATTTCATGAAGAGTAACCTCTCATTCGTAATGTTTCAGGCTTATTATGAGGTGCCTCTTGCACTGCTTGGTCATTAGAGGAACCTGAAAAGCCATTTAGTCTTGTTCTCTCTTCAATCCTATGTAAAACCCACAGTTCGAGTTTCCTTACTCTGTACCTTTGTAGCATAGAGATCAGCTGTTTCCAGAAAAAGCTGTCTGCTTAGTTCTTCCAAAGCATCCACTTCCTGTTGAATAAGAGTAAGATCTGGCACAAAATGGGCATCAAGGTTTAATCCACATAGAAGTTTTAAAAAATAGTAAGGAAGAAAGCATTTGCCCTTGGCTTCTTCTATATAGCAGATAGGAACTGTCAGTATTTTCAATTTCCTATCTCAGAGCCAGTGGTGCTACTTCAGGGCAATTTTCCCAGCCTGACAGAGGTGTGTCAACACTTCTGCCATTTAATTTCTCCCAACCCTAAAGTCTCAGACAGACAGATGTTTTTCTCTATTTGTTTTATCTTTTAAATTAAGTCAAATGAATTATCAAATGGTTGTATAATAATATCACCTACTAAAAAAGCACAGCTTTCGCCTACATTATCTGAATAAATGCAATGTTTGCAAAGAGAACTAATATTTAAACATAGGCTGGGGTTTATAGAAGATACCTTCTTTAGTTCTTTCGATACATTATTTCTTCTATTTTCCCAAAAATCTCATAAGAGAGGTGTTATCCATTTTGCAGATCAGGAAAGTGAAGCTCAGAGAGTTAAAGAACTTGCTCCAAGTCACACAACTAAGAGTTACCTCACTCCAAGGCCTGTTCTTTCTACTAAGCTATGCGATTTTCCAAGAACTCGGAGAGTAGTGGTATTATTCACCTCATTTAGGAGACAGTTCAGAGAGGTTAAATCACCTTGACATATTTATTGACTTATTATCACTAAAATAGCTTAAACCTACATTTTTTATTTTTAGGGTTTTTAAGTAATAAAAACAATAAAGATAGCATCTTCTAAAATAGAAGCAGTAAAGTTCAATCCAACTCTCTCTTCTTCTTGTGTATTTTTCTACTGTTACTCAAATCAACAAGTACTCTTCAGTTCCTTCCTAAACAGTGGCAGCTACTGGCACAGTCCAGGCCACTGAACAAGAAGACTTAACCAGCTATATGTCTATCTCTTCCATGAGCAGATGTAAACGTCTTGAGGAAAGGTTATACTCTATTCATGCTCCTATCACTGAGCACTCTAATAAAAGACACAAAGTAAATGTGTCTTAATTAAATTAATTCTTTTTCTTTCTCTGATATAATTATTCTGCCTTTCTTTGGTCTTATTCTTACCTGCATTTTATACCAGAAGGATAGCTCACAATTATAGCAATATACTACATCCTTCTCTTCCAACTGAAGCAAAAGGGAATTTGTACTTTTCTAAACCAGAGAAGGAAATAGGAGTATGCCATCTCATGCCTACTCCCTGATAGATTTGACTGGACAATCTGGGAGTCATTTAATTTCCCAAATTTGGAATTAGTTCAATACCATACCAAGAGGGCCAGGAACATCTATTAACCCAATCACCTTGATTTTTTAAATAAAAAGTTTACTGGACAAGTAGAACTACTTAAAATTTGTTTAAGTACACTAATTACTTTTGAGATGGGTCCTTACCATCCCATAAATAAGCTACCCATTTTAGGAAGCCAATATGTTTTGTGGTTTTCAGAGTTGGGAAATACAATAGTGTAGTGGAAAGAACTATAAAGCAGAGACCACAGTTCTGTCCCTAGCTCTACCACAAACCACTGTGTGACTTAACTTCTCTGGGTCTATTTTCTCATCTGTAAAATGGAAAGACTGCCTTTTTAGAAGCCTTTTAGCCCAAAGACAATGATGTTATGGTCTTAGTATGTTGGAAAAAAGGCTCTGTCCATACTGTATTTCCTAGGCCTAGCCCTGGCTGGTGTGGTCTTATGGTCAGGTTTCTTAGAAAGGACCATTCCAATACTACTGCTTTCTTCTGTCCTTGGTCCAGAGTGGAGAAAAATGATCAAACAGAGGCACAAAGGATACTTTCACTTCCTGGCACTGAAGTTGTAACACTCTTTATCATTCCCCAAAATCCTGATGGTTTGTTATGCACTTCCCCCTTCTGGAACATAATTCTCCGTGCCATTGCCATCCTAAAATAAAATAAAATATAAACCTCAGTAAGGAAGCATGGATGCTCTTATCTACTGTCTAGCTTCATGACTACTTCTCTCATTTGTAGAACTGTTTAAAGAAGGGTGCTGACTCTGGAGTCCCCACTTTTCTAGTACTTACACTATACTCCCAGAAGCAATGTGGCCTAGACAAAGGAGGACAGAATTTGGTGTAGGTAATAACTTTGAGCACTGGCTCTGTTCCTTAGAAGTTGTGAGACCTAGAGTTTTCATTTCCTCATCTTTGGATGGCTATAAAGATCAGTATATAAGATCACCCATTGTCTACTACAAAGTACAATACATATACTAATAATTATAGTTACTACTGAAAGAAAAAATAGCTTATACATCTAGATAAAGGACAAAGTGCAGAGGAGAAAGAAAAAAACAAAACAAAATCACGTAAGCCTGACCTCTTAATTCTATCCTGTCCCTGTATCTGTTCCACTTCTGAAGAAACAACAAGAAAACTACCATTCCTTCCTCTTGCCTCTCAGTGTATGGAAGAACATGTAACAAGGCCAAAAAAGGACATGTAACATGCTTAATTTAAATGAGAAATTGGAAATCTGAGATTTGTTGAAAGGTGACATGTATTTAGTGCAAGGGTGCACTTTAGTGCATTTAAATTGCATTTTAGTGCAATTTAAATGAAAAATGAATCAAGTGTCCACAACACAGCACTGAACTCTATGCATCTTGAGCATTCGCAGTTTTTCCTCCATCACAGTCTTCTTGGATCCATAGATCCGTGGATACTAAGGGTCTGCTGTGTTCAGTTGTGGTTAGCATACTGGCTTAAAGGAGAGGCCGTGGGAAGAGAGGGGACATGGAAGCACATTCTTCTGTTGTCCTTATTTTCAGTATCTACAATACAGAAGACACTAATGGCTGGATGTGGAATGGAACTGACTGAATGAATATATAAAGGAGACTGATGTTCTGTGTCTCATAATAGGCAGAGCAATATAATAAACAGAAGTAAAGGTTGACTGCACACAGACAAGTATGGCCTTGTTTTAAATAATTCACTTTTAATCACCTAATTCTAAATCAATTTTGCTCTTATCAAGCAAGCTGCAGATGACAAATGAATACTTATATATTTAAGAAGGTAACAATATCAAATCTTCTGAGATGTAGTAAAAAGGAATCAAAAATTAAAAATATAGTAGTGGACACTTTCATCTTCAACTTTTCTTCACCATAATCACCATCACAACGTGTTCATCATCACCACTGCCCCTTTTTAACAAAGGTGGTTTATAGCAAGACATTATTTTTTATTAGCTGAATGTCACTTAAAATTTCATAAGATGAAAAAAACCACATGGCACTTGGTTGAAGTTCGGGGGTGAAGACGGAGAAGAGGGTGACAAAAGTCTACTGTGATTTCAATATGTTATCCTACTGTTTTCTGGTTTCCATGGTTTCTGGTGAGAAGTTAGCCATTACTTTTCTTTCTTTTTTTAATTTTTTTTTTTTTTTGATGGTAGTTCAGGCTGGCCTCAAACTCCTGCCTCCACCTCAAACTCCTGCCTGTTCCTCTTAACTGCTTGGATTATGGACCTGCACCACTACACTTGGCTTTTCACAGGTGAGGAAACCAAGGCACAAAAACATAAAGTAACTAGTTGAAGGTCACATTGTAAGGTATAGACCAAGGATTCAAATTCAGATGGTCTGAACCTATACTTTTGTTTATTGATTTCTATGAAATGCTACTTTGTGAACATACAATTTTAAAGTACTTTTTGATAATTAATAAATAGCAATAATGACTAGAAGACTTAAAGAATTTTAGGTACTTGGAGAAAAAGAAGTCGAAATGATAGAAGCTTAGCATGAGAAGGTTTATAAAAATGTAGGACAAGAGACTTACAATAACAATCTTTCAAATAAAAACTTACATAACAATTTAAAGAGAAATATCTAAATTTTGGGGCTATGGACTTGGCTCAAGTGGTAGAGTGCCTGCCTAGAAAGTGCAAGGCCCTGAGCTCAAACCCCAGCATGGCCAAAAAAAAAAAAAAAAAAACCCTAAATACTTAAATTCAGGAAATAAGGTTAAATTTGAGAATTTTTTTTTTAAACATAAGATTAGACAGTAAAATCTTTGATGGTACTTCATCCTAAAATAAAAATGAACAAGATGAAGCTCCATGCCAGCATCAATTCATAGTCACATTTTATTGCTGACAAAAAAAACAGAGCATAGATTTTTAAGTGTGCTGATCTTACCTTTTCTTTTTGCTTATGATCATATCCATGGTTTGGAGCAGCCGCCGTTCCAGTGCTAGAATATCTGTGTCAGTCACATTCCTAAAATAAGCATAAACTGTTAGCAGTCTTTTGGGGTTCCACAGTTGGGCATAATATAAGGCATCTGGAGAAAAACATATACCCTAATTGTTACCAAAAATTCAAGGATCGCCCTTTTTCTAGAAACTATTAAAATGACTATAATAAGCTAAAATGCTTTTGCTGTCATGTCTTGTAGGTAATTCTTCTTGAGTCTCAGGGCAGAAGGTACTCAGCTCTCTTTTAGTCTTTCTTAGCTTTGATCCAGGGACATTTAAATACATGTTTAAACATGCTTTTAATTTGGCATTGTTTTCTACTGTTCTACCTGGAAAAGGAACTGATTTATTGAAGTTCAGAGAAGTTCACATTGCTGTCCACTAAAAAATGTGCCTTTACAAAGTACACATATGTGGAGATGATACTTGTCATTTAAAAAAATGAATGAATGAATGTAGGACAAATTACATGGAAAATCAGTATAAGTGCTAAGACTTATTATTTAGATCCCAGGTCAATAGCCATAGGAACAGAGGAAGAGAAGAATGAAAAGGCAGTATCAAAGATCTAATGTGAATATTAAATATGGTAGCATAATTTGGCATATATACTCAAGTAATGGGGGGGGCGGGAAAGAGACTAGCTGTGTATTACCTGAGGAAGTAGGACATGTAAGTATAGGGGCAGTTGACAGCACCAAATCCAGAAAGCAGAGCCATGAGAGTCACCCCAATCACACCAACCCGGCTGATGAGTTGTTCTATAGATAAGATCCCTAGGAAAAAAAAAAACCAGCACATTAATGCCAGGTAATGTAGGTAAAGCAGCTCCCATCCATATTATAAAAGGAAACAACTACTTAAAACATCAACCATTACACCTAACTGATAAGCCTACTTTAAATATCAATGTGTACTTTCTCCGTAATAAATAAATGAAAGTAATGATTTTTCCTCCTGTCTCACATGCTTCAGAGTAATCTCCTTTATTGGGTGATGATAGTAGTAAAACACAACAATAATTGTAAATAACACTTAACTGTAGGTACTGTGAACTCTAACAAAGTAAAGTACTTTTAGTAAAAGCTCTGGTCAAAAAAAAAACAGGAAAGTAAGTCTTCTGGAAAAGCAGAAATAGCAGGTGACACTTTGTGCTACTTACCTTTGATACATGTATTCCCCCTTAGGTCAGGGCTGGGATGTAGCTCGGTGGTACAGCATGTGCCTAGCATGCGCAAGGCCCTGGGTTCGATCCCAGCACCAAAAAGGAAAAGACAAAAAAAAAAAAGACCTCTCCCCCCTTAGGTCATACTTGCTAGCTTATACATTATTCTTTTTTGCATCCAATAAACACATAATGAGTTTAATAAATGGACTGAATCTACAGATGAATGAGTAATTTAAGGCAAATGCAAGAGTTTTAGATCATTGATCTAATGATCAATTATTTACTATCATCTCAGAGTAGTGAAAATTAACTCAGCAGTTAAAATAAGTGCTGTCAGATGATGTGTTTGGGATAAACTGGCTAAAAATGTTGAAGAATAACTCAGGAACTTCTTGAGTCAGGTTGCAACAGGGGCTGCACAGGGCTCCGGTCCCCATCTATAGGGGGAGTCACACAAATGCTCATTGGCTGCTTCTAAATACAGCCATGTCAGTTTGCAATAGGTGACAGTGGTACGTTCTCTAGTTTCTTTCTGGGTTCCGTAAGGACTGGTGGGAGATTATCTGCAAGCCTTACTCTCGTCATCCGGTTCTGCAACACTTGGTGAGGTGACTTCCTTTGGTTTCTTGGCAGTAGGGCAGGTATGGTCTCCACTTTTCCAGGTGGACTGGGAACAGCCAGTCCCTCTCCAAGAGAAAATAGGGGCTGGCTCCAGAGTTTGCTGAGGTTGCTGATAGAGTTGAAAATCCCAATCCTTATTTGTTTTTGACAACTGAATTCTTTCCGTTTGAAATTATTTTCCCTTGTACATCCCTACTTACTTTGTCTTGGTCTCTTCTTACTCTGCATGGGCCGTAATTCTTTCATTGAGGTCAATACATTTTCCTTCGATGATCTCCATTTCCCCAGCTTCATCTAATTTTTCAGATTCCTGGAGTCCCCTCCATGAGGATTGATACAACTATACCTTTCTAAGCTCCTGGCTTGTGCATATCAATAGTTCACTGAATTATCTGGATGTGAATGGGTAACTCAAATTCAATATAGTACAAATTGAAATTATCTTCCCTCTCAACTTGTTCCTTCTTCTTGCTGCCTGTTTTACAAAATGGCATCATTAACTACAGAGTCACCAAAATAAAAAATCTATAATCTAGTTTCCATTTTTACACCTTTTGAATATACCAACGTCTTCTATTCAAGAGCTTTACATGAAGTCTCATGCCTTCTTGCTGGGTTGTCCTTTAAATCTCAGCTTAAATATCACTTCCTTGGAGAGGATAACCATTTGAACTCAATTTCATACCCTTCTTTTTCTTATCATATTATTGTTGTACTACGGGTACATTGGGACATTTACAGAAGTTCTTACTATCTATCATAGTTGAATTCATCCTCTACATCATTCTCCTTCCCCCCAGCCCCCCATTCCTGGAATAGTTTCAACAGGCCTCATTTTTCCATTTTCAAACATGAGTACATAATTAAATTTCATTTGCTCCTTGTGACAATGATCACAACTGGCAATTATTTATTTATATATTTACCTCTTTATTGTCTAGTCCCATCCATGAGACTGTAAGTTTTAAGAGGGCAGAAACAAACTTATTTTGTTCATGGTTTATCTCTAACACTCAATATAAGTAGGTGTTCACTAAATAGTTGTAGAATGTTAAATCAGTAAATCTTTATCTAAATTCTGTTCATTTTACTTTCCATATATCTCTTGATTTTGTATTCTTTTTACAGTAAAGAATCATGTGTAATTAATCTTTGTTTTCCTTACTGTCTGTCATACAGAAGGTATTCAACAAATGTTTGTTGACTGTGGGTACATAATATCACTCAATAACATAAAAATTCTAAGGGAATAATACAAGCTACTACATATTAAAAATGGAAAAAAAATTTCCTCTACTTTTATTCCCTTTAACATGGTGTCTTCTCATTAAACATCTTTTTGTGGTTGAAAATACTCTGCAGACACTATCTATTTAGCATCAACATTTCTATGAAGAAAGAGTCAAGTGTCACTATGCTTATTTACCAGTTCATATATGGGAAATCAAGTGAGTGAGGTGGCCAGAGACTGACTCACTGCTGCCATCTGTCAGATTCCTTCTAGCTTCTGCTGCCTGAGTCTCTCTTACTTTTTCCCACTAAGGAAAGTGTCTTTCCAGAGTCAGACACTGCAAAAGGAATACTTTCAAACTTTTTTTTTTCATTATAGTAAGGCCTGGCTCTTATATTTTTTTGTGGTTTCCACAGTGATAAACCATACTGGAAGCTCTAAAAATGGTAGTGTAAACCTGGCTGCTTCTCAGCTATGGCTTGAATTTTTCTACTTTTTTTTTTTTTCTTTTTGTGGTGATATTGGGGTTTGAACTCAGGGCCTCAGCCTGCTAGCCTGGTGTACTACCATTTGAGCCCTTCCACCAGCCCTTTTTTCCATGTGTTGGGCATTTTTGAGATAGGGTTTCATGAACTATTTGCCTGGGGCCAGCTTTGAACAATAATCCTCCTGATTTCTGCCCTCTGAGTAGCTAGGATTATAGATGTGAGCCACCAGTGCTCTACTTTTCTTAAAGGGTTAAACAGATTAAGACGCCTGAACATTCAGACATAAAGCTAAAATGCTTAGTTATTGAAGTGTAAAGGAGAGATGAAAACTGAAACTATCTCCACAGCTTTCTCTAAGTATTCTTTTTAGGATATTCTCATAGAATTTAGAAAAAGGGATGAACAAAAAATACAGTAGATATGGTAGTCTTTGTCTTTCCTCTGGTATGGCCAGGCTTCAGTGGTCATGTGAGTGGACTGCTCACAAGAGAAAGCTAGAGAGCTATATCAGAGACAGGTCTCTAGATGACATGAGAGCTTGTGCTTGCTCCATCATCACTCTTCTCCCTGAATCTAACATACAGATACATCTGTCTCTCTGCGGGCTTATTTGAGACAGGTTTGTATGAGAGCTATACTGTCAGAGCCTTCTTATTGTAAACCTTTTCTACAAAAGGGATATGTTGACCACATTAGCAAATCCTATATAGAGTGTGAAATTTTTGAACTCATCTATTGTCTTGGAAACTCAATTTTTTTTCCCCATTTGCTGATTCAGAAAGCATATACCAAATACTGGTTATGTGCTCAGCTCCACTCTGGGCAATAGGATACAAAGATAAATAAGATGGAGTTTCTGACCTCAGGGAGGCCAAAGGTTAATGGGGAAGTTAGAAAAAGAAAATAAATAATTGTAAGTTTTATAGGTGACTAAAGTACATTGCGGTGGGAGCAATTAATATGTCCTAATGATGGCCAGGAAAATCTTCTCAGTGTAACTGAAACAAGTTGAATCACTGAAGAATAAGGAGGAATTTTTCAGGTAGCCAAAGGGTGAAGGATTATCACCCTGCTACAACAACTGATGGAAGCGTTCTAGAAACTTTAATTTGGCAGGACTGGAAAACAGAACATCTAGAGAAGGTAGGCAGGCCAATGGAGGTCTTGTACACAGTGCTGAGTCTGAGTCTGTTTTTGGCAGGCTACTTGAAACTCTGAACAGCTATTTTTTCCTCCCTCTTCCTTTTTTTTTTCCGGTACTGTGGTTTGAACTCAGGACCTACACATTGAGCCACTCCACCAGCCCATTTTTGTGATGGAGTTTTTTGAGGTAAGGTCTCACAAACTATTTGCCCAGGTTGGCTTTGAATCGTGATCCTCCTGATCTCTGCCTCTGAGTAGCTAGTATGTACAGGTGTGAGCCACTGGCACTCAGCTGTAAAATTTCTTTTTTTCTTTTTTTTGGTAGTAACTGCTATTTTTACATGCAGTTGCATATGCTTTTTAAATTGCACATTTCCCCTAATCCAAGTGTAGGTGAGTCTTAAAATCTTTCTCAAGATATTATCAAGGAAGGATATGTGGGCATATGGCAGATTCTAGATGTTGGTTCACTCAACTTCATTTAAATCCTTTTCTACTTTTCTTTTTTGTTCTACAGTCTTGAAAGCACAAAGCTCTTTTCCAGACTTCTAGATGTAAGGCTCTGAATGGTCATAGGTTTCACCAAATTGACATGCCCATGTGAGGCCTCAAATGCAGAAGTGAACAGTGAGTGTAGGGATGGTGACAGCACTTGGGAGCAGGAGCAATTGGGACAGAAGTTACACAGTTGTTGGTTCCTGATGTCACAGGTCCTAGTGGAGGTAACAACTTTAGTGGGGATTTTTGGGTTATTACTGTGGCATGATTGGGTACATCTCTTCACTATGTAACCCTTAAGCTTGATGTCCCTGCTTGCCTGGAAATCCTATATATTGCCTGATATCCTGTAAATAAACCACTTTCTGCCTTAAACTAGTTATTGTAGATTTTGTTTTCTGCAATAAAAACCCTGACAGATACAGGATAATGAGTGAACAGATATGCATTAAAAACACTTCCAGTATGATAGCGCCAGTATAATTATTACACGTAGACACTAATATTTTTAGACAGATTCATACATACTTCTGAAATAGTTCTGGAAGGACTTGTTAGCTGAGGGGTTTTTGTTCATTGTTTTTAGCACAGAAATTGGGACTGCCCAATTTCTTGTATTTAAAATGATTTGTGTGTGGGGTGGGGTGTGCGTATGTGCACACACACGCATGAGAGGAAAGACACTGATTTTTGGAAAGTTTTTCATTATCTATCAGTTATGAGTGTTTTATGTAACTTCTCTTTTCCTAAATAAATATATTCCTTAAAGACAATGTTTTTTGATTTTTGTTGTTGTTTTGATATGGGGTCTCACTGTGTTGCCCAATCTAGTTGTGGGCTCCACTGATCCTCCTGCCTCAGTCTCTTGAGTAGCTGGAACTATAGACATGTGTCACCACCCTAAAGATAATTTTTATCATCACTTGAGCAGTGGACATTTTGGGTCACAGACCTCTTTGAGAATATGATAAAAGGTTATTGATAAACATACTAGTGTGGTTTGAGTAAGTATCTCCCAAAGGCCTACATGTTAAAAGACTTGGCCCCTAGCCCAAGGCACTATTGGGAAGTGGTGGCACCTTTAAGAAGCAAGGGCAAATTGGAAGTCTTCTGGTCATAGAAGGGCATGTCCTTGAAGGGAATATTGGGTCCCCAGCCCTTCCTCTTTGTTTTTCTTTGTTTCCTGGCTACCATGTAGGAAGCAGCCTCCTGTGTCATGCCCTCTCACCATGATGTTCTGTCCTGCTACAGGTCCAAAAGCAACAGGCCAACTGACCATGTACTGAAACCTACAAAACTGTAAGCCAAAATAACTCACTCTTTTTAAGTTGATTATCTCGGGTATTTTACTATGGCAACAGAAAACGGGTGCACGTGCATGTGCGCACACATGTATATTCCCATAATTCTGCAAACAATATCAGAAAATTTAAGTTAAGGACACCTTTCTATTTCTTTTAAACCCTTGACTTTTTCACTAAACCAAGGTACAAAAAAATTCTGTTCTAGAATGACAGAAGTCTGTCTCAAAAATCAGCATTTGATGCCCCTTAAGATGAAGCAGAAATTTTGGTTAAAAAACAGGTATCTTTTAGAGAAATAACTTTCTGTATTTCCTACAAGAGAAATTCTAAAACATTACAATTTTCTTCAAAATTACCAAATTAAACAACCCTTCTTCCCTCTCCCACTTCCTCCATATACTCACCATGTTTTGGGCTAAGAATGGGAAATGGATCTCCCAGTTTCCAGAAGAAATACATGAAGGTCAACCATAAGAGACAGGAAAAAAGCAGTCTCTGTTTATGTACTAAAAGAAGACAAGACAGTTATGGAAAACAGGTATCTATTAAAGAGCTCATTCTTCTTAAAAATATGAGCTAATGCTGATTAATATTTGGCTGGCTGTTTGCTTGGCAAATGATGGAACTACACAATTTTTAGTGAACACATCTTTACAAGAGAAACTTGGCTGAAATTAAGATGTGGATTGAGTTACTACAGACATTATAGTAGAAGCAGAAAACAGCTGTAGCAGGACAAATACTCTAATCATTCATTTAGTATTCATTTTGTGACCTTTTTAAGATACTGTGAGGTGCCCCCCCAAAGCAGTAGTTATGAAAGCAATGTAGGAATGAAGCTGTCCACAATCCCAATCCCTAAGAATATACATCTCAATCTATGTGCTGAAATGAGAAGACAGAATACTCACAAAGTTGGATGTTGCTCACAATAAAATAGCCAATGTAAAAAGGCACCATGAAAACCAGGATGAGCAGAATGACACACAGGTTCATTTTCCAGTGAAAATAACGGGAGCTGGAATAAATGTCAAAGAATATCACTGAGAGGACTTTTATTCTCTTTAGCCTTCCAAAGGACCTCTTGCTCTTTGAACTCAATACTGAATATATTCCATCTACTTAGTCAACAAGGCTATTATTGTCTACTAATTGGTAGAGATTAAAAAGTATATATTTCTGAAAGTACATATGACATCTTAATCTCCCAAGATTTTCACTTAGTAAGAATGCTAATGTGTTTGATATATTCACAGGCAATGTGTAACATAACATATCAGCATACACTATTTCCAGGAGAATAACTTATTTTATTCACCACTAAAAATCTTATTCCAATATAAGGATTCAACAAAAAAATAAATGTTAATAGTAATACATGCCATAATGACATTTTTGCTTTTTATAACAGCTTTTTTGGAGGTATACTTTGTCCATTTAAAGTGTACAATTCAGTGGATTTTAGCATATTCACAGATCTGTGCAGCCATAACCCCTGACTGGGTGAAATTATTTCAGAACATTTTCATTCCTGCATAAAGAAACCCTGTGCCCATTGGCAATCACTTTCCATTCCCCCAACTGCTCCACCCTAGGGAACCACCAAAGTAACTATGGATTTTCCTATTCTGGACATTTCAAATGAATGGAATTACGTAATATGTGCTCTCTTATGGCTAGCTTCTTGGCTTAGCATAATGTTTGTAAGGTTCATCCATGTAGCATTTATCAATAATTGATTTCCTTTTTATGGTTGAATAATATTCATCCCATTGTTTATCTATTCATTGGTTATAGACATTTGAATTGTTTTCTCTTTTAGCTACCATACATAGTTAAGCTATGAACATTTGTGTACAGGTTTTAGTGTGGCCATATGTTCTCATTTCTCTTCAGGTAGAAATAGCATGGAATTACTGAGCCATATGGCAAATCTATATTTACACTTTTGAGGCACTGTCACTGTTTCTCAATGTGGCTGCATAACTTTATATTTCCCCAGCATTGTGTGTGTGGGGGGTTCCAATTTCTCCTCAGTTCCAATGACACTTGTTATTATCTGCTTTTTTAGATATGATCCTAGTGGGTATGAAGCAATATCTAATTGTGGTTTTGATTTGTATTTCCCTGATGGGTAACCATATTTTCATGTGCTTATTGGCCATATGTACGTCATCTTGGGAGAAATGTCTATTCAGATTCTTTGTCTGTTTTTTAACCATGCTTCTTTTGAGTATTGAAATGTAAAAGTTCTTTATATATTTTAGATAGAAATTTTTTTTTATTAGAGACCTAATCTGCAAAAACTTTCTCCAATTCTTGGGGCACTAGTTCATTTCTTGATACTATCCTTTGTAGTTATTGATTTTAAACTTAGATCTTGTTTTAAAAAATGGTTAAACAGCTTAAGTGGTTTATGGGGACACATAAAATATAGGATGAGGAAATAAACTATAAGAAAAAAAATGAAAGAAAAGGACAATAATGACAAAATGTAAAATATTAGGTAAGGCCTGATAGCTGTAACGAAATAGAGTTCTAGAAACTTGCTATGGTAGACCACAAATTTAGCTTTACGTTTTCTAATGGTCAACACAAAATAGATAATTTGACCAGTTAGATAAAATCATAGTATCTGTAAGAAAATAAACCACTTGCTTAAAGGACGCATAATTACTACTGATTTATTATTACTGAAGTATTACCAAGACAATAATGAGATTTCTCCAAAGATTTCATAAGGAAGAAAATAACAATGTCCTGAACAATATCCTTTCAAAAGAAATATCAGTGTGTTGCCCAGGGCTGTTTCTTACTATTTCCCCTTAGTACAGATGGCAGGCATCATAAAACAAAGAGCCATTCAGGAAAGGCTGCTGTAGAGGAAACCAAAACCATTTAGTGTAGCTACACTGACAGTGTTTTGCTCATCAGGATTAACTCAATTAGGAACATTTAGAGAGGCAATCGAGATGCATATTCTGTAGGCAATCCTCTCCACAATATTTTGGGCACACTTTTGAAGCATACTAGGAGGGAGTAGGTTTGAAATCCAACTGTTGCTCCAAGTGTAACTCGTATTGTCAACTAATAGTGAACCGTATGCTGTTAGGGCTGTCAAAGACAACATGGCCACCCCTGGGTATTTATGCATTAAGATTATGTGAAGGTTTCTATTTAAAAACATAAAATTTTCTTCCTTTTTTCTGAAACTACTTTCTACTTTCTTTAAAAAAAAAAAAAGAAAAGAAATATTTATAGCATTAACTACAACAAAAAAAGTGAACCATAGGTTTGGGTGCTGTAGCTCATACCTGGAATTCCAGCTAAGTAGGAGGATTAAGTAGGAGGATCACAGTCTGAGACTGGCCTTGAACAAAAAGATCCTATATGAAAAATAAGTAAAAGCAAAAAGGGCTAGGGGCATGGCTCAGAGTTTAAACCCCAGTACTGACAAAAAAGAAAAAGTGAACCACATTTATTTATTTTTGTGGTACTAGGGATTGAACCCAGGACGTTGCCTAACCAAGCATTCTACCAGTTGAGCCAAGCCCTCCAGTCTCTGAATCATATGTTTTTCAGCTGAGGATAAAGCGACGTTCTCTTGAAATAAATGAAGGATTCTAACAAGATTCTATATTTGAATAGGAAGCCATAAGACCTATGCTCAGAGGAAAGTGAAAAAAAAAACTCTTAGTCAAGGCCAAGATTCTGTTTTGAAAACTATTCTGAATCCAGGTATGATATAGATATGATACATGATACAGGTAAGATACATGAGCAAGGGCCTATATTTCTGTCCCATGGCTGGGCTAAATGTTGCATGAAGAAACAGGGGGAACTGCAGATGTCTCAATCTGAACAACCCAATCTCCAAATGGTCCCCAATGAAGAACTAGAGGTTAGCAATGCATTTCTTATGCTCTTTAAACTATTGAAGAAGTTTGAGAAATACACACCAAAGTATCACTGTTTCTTACTACACAGGATTATTAATTTTGAGTGAAAAGTTGAGGGCCATCATCTACTAAAAACGAAGCTCACAAAGCCTACAATATTTAGTATCTGGCCCTTCAAAGAAAAAAACTTGACAACTTCTGCTTAGATACTGAAACATCCAGGCCGTGATAATAAAATTTAATGACGAGCATGCCTATTCTCTATAGTACCTGGATCTGTATCGAGCTCATCTAAAAAAGGATTGGACTACTAGAGAACAAGTTTAAAAGTAGCAGTCAGAACATATTCCTCTTTTACCTCTATCAAGAGACCATAATTATGAACTTGGATGGATTCTCTTTAACTATTTCTATTATAAGTTTTTAAATTTTTTTTTTTCAGCTCTGAGTCATACCAGAGGATTTTAGAGTATAGGCTTTAAAATAGCTTCACTCAGCACTGATTCCTGACTAAAAGTTTCTTTCACTTGGTGATTTAAGGAAAAAAAAAAAAGCACAAGAGCTGGAAGGCACAGCTCAAGTGGTATATCTATCAAGCGCTAGGCCCTGAGTTCAAATCCTAGTATCACCAAAACCAAACAATAACAACAAAAGTCAACTAGCTGATGAACTCCACATACAAATGATGGTCTAAAAAGTATTCAAGTTTGGCTGGACATAGTGGTGTATGCCTGTAATCCCAGCTATGTGGGAGACATGTGTAGGAGGATCACAGTCTGATGCTAGCCCAGGCAAAAAGTGAGTGAGACCCCCATCTCAATAACAAGCTGGGCACTGTGGTACACTTCTATAATCCTAGCTAGATGGGGAGGCATAGATAGGAGGAGCATGGTCAGAGGCCAGCTTGAGCAAAAATTCCTGTGAGATGCTATTTGAAAAACAAGTAAAGCAAAAAAGGACTGGATTATGGTTCAAGTTGTAGAACACCTGCCTAGCAAGCAAACTCCAGTACAATAAACAAACAAACAAACAAACAAACAAAATTACTCAAGCTTGCAGTTTAACAGAAAAGAAACATTTTGGCAGTACTGGGGATTAAACTCAGGACCTTATGCTTGTTAGGCATGTACCCTACCACTTGAGCCACTCCACCAGCATAAAGAAATATTTACGAGCTAGTAGAGTGGCCAAGTGGTAGAGTATCTGCCTTGTAAGCATGAGGCCCTGAGTTCAAACCCCAGTACTGCCCTCCCCGCCACCAAAAAAAAAAAAAGAAATATTTTAGATAGACTATCTACTAAACTAACAGGTCTGTTATTTGGTGCCATTAAAAAAAAAGTTTTAAAAAGTATTCTAGGTTCAATTCTAGGTTCAATCAAACTTGAGCATGTCTATAAAATCAATAAAGGTAACTAAGATAGTGAGAACTGGATTTCAGTGTTCTGAAATATCCCTGAGGAATCCTGAACTTTTCAGGTAGAGATCTTGGATTAGCAGGATAATGTGAAGTGATCCAGTCAGAACAGCCTGAGAAAACTACAACTTCTCACCATGAGGTCTGGCCCCTAAGTTCCCTCACTCTCAATGAGTCCTTCAGAGCGAAAAGTCAGCCACTTTTTCCTGGTAACTCATGATTTTTGCAAAACTAGTTTCTAGGTGGCTAAGACCCATATTTATGGTGATCACTGGAGTTAAACTATCCACATGGTGGATTTTTCCACTATGAGACTCTTCCACTTTAAAGAAAGTACAGCATTTGGCAAGAAGTGAGGTATTCAGGACTCTCACCTGCTGTTCAGTACTCCCAAGATTTCAAAGATGATAAGCTCAAACATGGTGCAAGAAAATGCAAAAGTCACCGAGAAGATCACCTGTACAATGTATTGACGCACCTGTTCAAAGCCAGAAAGAGACCAGAAATCAGTCATTTCCTTGCTTGAGATTTTGAATGGATAATCTCCTTCTAGTGACAAGTCAGAAAACTAATGTTGAAGAAATTCTCAGATCACTAGAAACAAGGTATGGAGCCAAAGAAATACATCAAAGTCGGTAGGCATTTCTGAATTATAGATCACTATTACCAACATCCTCTGTGGTTGGAGGATTTAAAACACAAGATGAAGTGGCAGAATCAGAAGTATACTGAGAATTCCTTATGCTCACTGACAGAGCAATGGCAGACCTGCACATACTGTTTAGTGTTAAAAGGGGCTCTTCAACACTGCTGACCTTGGACTAGTTCTGGAACCTTCCTCGGAAGCCTTAAAATATCTAGAACAGAATCTCTAGAATTCTGGGCTTTTGCAAACATCCACCCAGTTTCCCTGGGAAGGTTTAATGGAGAATATCCTAGAAATGACCCAAAGGTAGTCCACAACCACTGAACTTGTTACTAAATAAGGATTCCTTAGAAAATGTCCAGTTTAGGATGGTCATTTTCTGAATCCAAGGCTGAAATTAAGAACCACACTAGTGTTGGGATTTTGGTATTAACTGAAGGTGTAATTCTCAGCTCTAGAGACAAGTGAAAGGGAACACAGAACATCTATGAGACATAAATTAAATTTTCTCCCAAAGAATATCTGTTTGCTATTGGTCATGTGTTAATTAAAAGACATTTGTTGCTCCTATCTTCTGGGATATATGTGATTTAAATTTTTTCCCACTTTTAAATGTACTAAGCCTAATCACATTCCGCAGTTTTACATTTCTCATTTGGCAAAAGCTTCCTATCTTAGAAGTGAATGTGCTCTTTCTTAATGGAAGCATTTTTCTTGTTTCATTTTAAACAACCTAAATTCATATAGTATAATCATAATATAATGATTTCTTCTTACCTCATAGTCCTTAAACAATTGGCGCATGAAGAAAAGCCATCCAAATCCAAAAAAAAGTATCTAGAGGAGGAAGGAGATAGAATGTTAATATACATCTTTTGAGAAATGTCTCAGAGAGACTATTTTATGTAAAAGATCTGCTAACTGGACAGTTAACTTATTTTAGTAATAAAAATGATATCCACTCATGACATTGGAAGGAGATGTTTAAAATGATATAAGATCATTTAAATTATTCATACTATAGAACAAATTTTAAGTTAGACAAAAAGTGTCATGGTATGGTAATCATTTTATGAGCCACAGAAGTTAGCCATTACACAAGGACTCAAGGACTCACTGAAACTTACTTCTTACAGATGTTCCCTGTTGGCAAGTATTTTAAAAAATTACAACTTCAGGGGAAAGAAGTTGAAATAAAAACAGAAGAGGCGTTAGAAAGACTAATTTTTTTACACGTATTTCCTTCAGAAAGCTTTCTTAGATTCTCCACTATATTGCCTAATCTACGTAAAGAGGGTTCCATCTCAGTGTAAAGATAAGATTGCAGGATTCCACTTTTGTCGGTTTTGATTCAAACTGCCACACAACTGACAAAGCTACTTTGTTTTTCACTAGTAGACAGAACCTTCTATACACAACACATACATACTTGGATACAACTCCTCTTTTCTTCTTATATTGGTTGGCAGTTTTATGAATAAAACTCTTCTGCCATCCTTCTGACTTCAGGAGTAAATGTAAACTTTTTTTGGCAGTATTGGGGTTTGTACTCAGGGCCTAGAGCTTGCTAGACAGATGCTCTTCAGCTTGAGTCATGTCACCAGCCCTTTTTGCTTTAGTTATTTTTCAGATAGGGTCTCACATTTTTTGTCTGGCCTAGACTATAATCCTGGGATCACAGATGCATGCAACCACACCTGACTTATTGAGACAGGGTCTCAATAACTTTTTGCCAGGGCTGACCTAGAATCACAATCTTTCTGATCTCTGCCTCCCAAATACCTGGAATTAAAGGTGTGAGCCAGGTGAGTATGAACTGTGGGAACACAGCATAGACTATGCTCCAGCCTCTTGTGCTCCTCCTGCCTACCAAACATTTTCAGCCACATGGAACTTCCTCTGGTTGTGTGAACACACATTCTTTCATACTGGGACTTCTGTTGTCCTCTGACAGGAACTTCTCCCCATCCCTTTCCTGCTTACAATTCTATAGGTCTTAACAAATATTTTACACCCTCTGGAAGGCGTTCTCTGTCCTCTGAATAAAGATAAACTGCTCTTTGTGTATAACCCTATTTTACCTTGTATTTCTCTTATCAAAGTACTGACCACACATAGTTTTATAATGTCTAATTTAATTTTTTATTATAAGCTCAGTGAGGACAAGGGCCATATTTGGCTATTTGATCTTTGTATTCTCAACACCCAGCATAATGCTTAGCATACAGTAGGTTCTCCCTAAATGTTTGCTGAATGGCTTAATGATCTACAGTGAAAGATGGTTGTTCTTCCACAACATTCAACCTCAAAATTTATGTAGTAATTTCTAATGTGCTATTCTAGGTGATGGAAATTCATAGTGAGTAAGATGGCCATTAGCCTCAATACAGATGAAGACATCAAATAAATAATTATAACCTGGTATTGTGTGCAAATGTGGGGGATTATGCATATTTTCCTACAGCGGTTCCAAGGCATTCATTTAAACTGAAAGGTTTCCATACCCTTTTTGAAATATAAGAACCATTCCTTAAAGGACAAATAAGAATTAGGCATGCAAAGGGCAGAGGTGGTGGGGGCAGGAGGACAGGGCTTTCCAGACAAGGTAGAAGCACTGGTTCATGCTGGCAACTTTACACAATTTGGTGATGCTGGACAATAACATTCAAAGGAGGAAGAGATTAAAAATAAGGTAGGGAAGAGAAGCAGAGGATCAATCACTGAGTACTCAAAAACCTCTGAGGAGCCCAGATTACATGCTGGAGATGATGAGGGTTATTTAGCAGGAAATGACATGGCCAGATATGTTTTACATGGAGCACCATGGCAGATATGTGAGAGATACATCTGAAGGAAACAACTGTAGGAGGAGAAACATTCTAGGAGGAATCTAGATGAGAGATGATAAAAGACTTTGGTTACAGAAGAGGAGGCAACAGATTTGAGAACGATTTCGAAGGTAAAAGGAACAGGGAGGCATCAAGGGTTACTAGTTTGGAATACTGGGTGAAGAGTGAGGCCACACCCAATTTACAGAAAGAATAATGGAAGAAGAGGTGGTTTGGAAATGGGGATGGAAGAGGGGCAAAATGATGAATTTGTGTTTTAGACATGCTGAGGACTGAGGGCCATCTAGGACAATATCCAACAAGCTTTGAATAAAAGGTAGATTATAAAAAAACAGGACAGAGATACACCTATGAGTTGAAATCAGCAAAGAATGTGAGATCATCCAGGAGTAGTATGTGGTCAAGAGAGCTATATGCCAAGAACAAAACTCTAGAGGGTAGGAATGGGGAAAAGAAACAACGAAGGAGACAAAGAAGGAACTGTCAAAGAAATAATAGAACCAGAATGTGAAGTCTTGAACTATGGATAGAAAGTTTAAAGAGCATTATATGAAGCAGAAAGAAAATAAAACATGAATGAGAAATGCTCAAATGGTTTTGTAACTTGCAGATCAATGGTGACCTTAAGGAAAATAGTTTGAAATAATGAGGTAGAGGCAGGACCCAGATTATAGTGGGTTGGGGGTGAATAGGAGGTAAAGACAGTAGAGAAAATAAGCACAAATAATCTCTAACAAGAACCAAGAATGAGAAAGAAAACATAAGATAGCAGCCTAGAAGAAAGTGGGTTTTGTAAAGGGTGTTTATAGGTGAAGGGGAAAAAGGCAGTAGGGGAGGGGTATACAAAGACAAGGAACTGATGGAACACTAGAGGATGAGCTGCTGATGTTATTAATTTATTAGTATTATTAGCAGCTAAAATTGACCAGCTTACTTTATTTTATAATCTCATAAAACCATAAAACCCCAATAAGGTAGTTTGGATTATCCTATTTTCATAGAAAAAGGTGATATTTAGGGAAGATCATAAGTTTAGAGTGTCAGAATCAGGATTGAAACTGAAGCCTGTGTGACTGGACTCTATTTTAACCACTTCAAAATGAGCTATTCCAAGATCAAAGGCATCAGTAGACAAGATAGCCTTACCTAGGAATGGGGGCACCCTGCTTTCTGACACAGGAGGTGACAAGGAAATAAGAATGGTTGTGGATACAGATAACCTCTTAGATTAAAATGTAGGAAGTAGAAGGAAAGCATATCGTGTGGCCTTTCTTCTGTTTAAGTAGGAGGTGAGATCATTTGCTAAGAGGTGAATATAGAAAAGGAGGCTTTGAGGAGAGTGATAAGACTCAGAGAAATTATGAAAGGATGGAATAAGTAGCTGATTAGGTATAAGAAAGAATGATTCCAGCAGACGTTCCATCAGCAAACTGCACAGCTGGGTGTGATTTTCTACACCAGCCTTTAGGCTCCTATATTAGTGATAGACAAACTAATAATTCAAGTGTGGCCTTTTTTTTTTTTTTTTGAGACAAGAGTCTCAAAAAAAAGAGACAAGTCTCAGTTTACAGCCCAAGCTGCCCTCCAACTTGCCATCCTCCTGACTCAGCCATCTGAATGCTGGGATTACAGGCACGTGCCACTATGCCTGGTACAAGTATGGGCTTTTACATAAAGGAACAAGAGGGTTTGAGAAAGTAACTTGGATCCACAAACCCAGATCAAATAGAAAACAAAAAGGGCATATAGATTAGGGGAAAAAATTCCTAGACTATCTAGGAGGCCCTTTGGAGTTTGGAGTCAAGTTTATATGTCATTACTGAAGGTGGAGAAATTGGGCAATTCAGATGGGGGGCGTGCGCATGGTGGAAACAGGTCGGCACTGGTGGCTCTCATCTGTAATCCTAGCTACTGGGAGGCTAAAACCAGGAGGATCGAAGTTCAAGGCCAGTCTGGGCTAACCAGTTTGTGAGACCCATCTCCAAAATAACCACAGCAAAATGGACTGGAGACATGGCTCAAGCAGTAGACACCTGCTTTGTAAATGTGAAGCCCTGAGTTTTAACTTCAGTTACAACAAAAAATAAAAATAAAAAAATCAGCAAGAAAATCCTGAAATAGGACTTTAGACAATGAAACAAACAACAAACAAAAAAACCCCACAAATTTTATAAGTTTGTATCATGGGATGGGGAATGGAAGAAGAGAAACAGATATATACCTTTAATGTTGTTTCAGGAACTCCACTGACAAAACTTAAAAGAACTTTTAAACACACATGAAATTATTTGTAGCTGGGTAGTGATGTGTGCCTAAAGTTCTAGCAACTTAGAAGATTGAGGCGGAAGGCTTGCTTGAGCCCAGAAGTTTGGGGTCAGCCTGGGCAACATAGTGAGATGTCTCTTTAAAAAAAAAAGGTAAGTGGAGAATTTATTATACCCAAGATAAATATAAATTCAGCAACATTATATAATAGATCTAAAAAGTACGTAAATTCCAAAGTTTGCAAGTAAAATGGAAGGTGCACAGCTTCATATTGAAAAAGAAGAATTATAGTCTTAGAATTGTGTAGAGACTTGACCTTTGGACTTAAGAGTATACTCTGGAACTGTTAAGTATTATTACTGCACAGAGGCTCAAACATATGAGTGAGATAACACTTGCTGTTACAAAAATGACCTCTAGGTTGAAAATTACCTATAGATTAAAAAAAAAAAAAAGATGGCCATTAGCAGGACAATCATTAAAGAACTCACTGGAAAAGACACCATTCTAGGACCATTTTTTCACCCTTCTATTTACAGAACAAATATTTATTAGTGACTAATATAGTTAATGAGAAAGCATGGATGCTACTCTCCAGGGGTTTATATAAAACAACATGGTAGGTTGTTATGAGGGAAGTGGGTAAAGGGTATTATGACACCTGTATAGGGACATCTGTCTAATCCAGTCTGGGAGAGGCTACTTTGATGTCCAAGCTGAAATCTGAAGGCTGAATTGGAGTTGGCTGAGAGAGTGAAGGGGACAGATGTGGGGAAAAAGCCAGAAAGACAGAAGCAACTGCAGAAATCTGGGGGCATAATATGACTGCCAGGTTAAGGATGTTTAGGAAGTATAGAGTACAAAGTAAAGTGAGCCAACACTGAAGAGCTAAAGGCCAGGGTCACAACATAAGGATTTTGTGAGCCATATTAAGGAATCTGTGTGCCATTCTGTGCCATGGTGATGTTGTCTGAGATGATACAATTCAGTATGTGACCTGTGATTTCAGATTTCATTTCGAATAAACATTTCAGTTCACACAAAACAGGAAAAATAGGGTCTGAATGTCGTTTCCAAGGTAACTATCTCTCTCTCTCGAGGTGCCTTTTTTTTTTTTTTAATTAAGACTTACTAGGTCTCCACTATGTACAAGTGACTGATCCAGATATGAGGAGATACAGGAAAGAACAAGAAAGATAATATCTTGGACTTCATGGAGTTTACAGATAACAAACATATAAACACGTTAATAAACAATAGCAACAAAAGCTGTGAAAAAATAAAACAAGGAAATAAGAAAGAAAAGTGGCCAGAATGAAAGGCTACTTTGATTGAGAGTGGGGGACCAGGTACAGCCTTTCTGAAGTGACACTTTTACTAATATCTAAATGATGATAAAGTAGCCACATAAATAGTTGGACAGAGAACATTCAGCGCAAACATTCGTTTGGTCTTAGTGCTGAAAAGATTGGACAGTTAAATTTAGTATTTAAGTATATGAATATAAGGCAGAAAAGACTAGAAAGCCACTTTCCTGGTTCAACTTTTTAATTATAGTCATGTTAAAAACTGCAATGCAAAGGCAATTTTCTACTAACATTTAAATTTTTATTCTGAATGAAAAAAATGCCACTTAAATATTGTTACTTTTCTTAAATTTGCACTAGGGCTAAAACAAGAGAATAGGAAGCCTTAGAAAGATTTTAAGCATGTTCAGATTCTTCTACTTTTATACATTTAAATATTATACAGCCAATAAAAACATAGAAATCATATAAAAGATGTTAAATTTTAAAATGCAAAAAGTCACTGTAGTGGTGGACTATGAACGGCCTTGTTTTGTATTTCTTAAATGTTATTATAAAAGCTCTTTTAAGAGACAAGGACAAGGGCTGGAGGTATGGCTCAAGTGGTAGAGAGCCTGCCTAGTAGGGCAAGGTTTGAGTTCCTCCCCCCAAAAAGGAAGTGTGAATATGAGTGAAATATTTCATACTCATGCATGAAAATAGAATGAAAATGAACCCGTTGAAAATTGTTTTAAAAGAGGCGAGACAGAAAAGTAAGAAACAATAAAGGGCTAGTTTGATCAAAGTACATTACACGCATATATGGAAATTATCACAATGAAACCCATCTGTACTGTTAATTATATGCTAATAAAAAAGAAATTTAAAAAAAAAAGGACATTGCTTTACCGACAGAAGCATTAGGATGAAGCAATATAAAAACTGTATCAAAATCCAAAAATTTGGCTTATTTAAGCCTTCAAAGAGAAATATTTCCGTTATGTGCCATTTGAAAGAAACAAGAGAGAAAAACACATTATCAGAAGATGAGGGGAAAAGACCAATATTAGGTAACCAGAGTTTCTACAAGTATTAATAGCTAGCCAACAATTATTTGAGTGCATGGAGATGGGTACACACTCTGGACAAGACTGATCTCAAAAAATTTCATAAATATACAAATGGTATCAGTGCTATGACAATGCTTGAAAGAAAATGACTGAGCCACAGGAATGAATGACATGTAGAAGCGGGGGGGGGGGGGGGGCTGTCACAGCGGACAAAGCTTCAAAGCTTCCAGAGGGCAGGGGCAGTAGTGTCTCCTGCACGTTGTGCTCTGGGAGCTTTATAAATGCTGACTGTACGAACGAATGAAGGTGGCCAATTGGGACGAAACGAGGTCCGAAAAAGGCAGCAGGAGGCATAAGAAGCAGTAGACCAAGGGTGACGTGCCAGTGCACAGCGAACTTTACACTTTGAAGTCTCGAGGCAACACTTCCGCACCCGGATTCAGGCTGTGACAATCAACAGCAAAGCCTGCACGTGTCCCAAGCCTTCAGCACTCACTGGCGCGCGCACGCCCTGCGCCCAGAACCGCACTTTTTTCTAATTCTTGGGCCAGCGGCGCAGTCCGGAAGCCTCGGGGAACTTTGGGGACAGTTCCCCGCTTGTGGCACCAGCTCTCAGCGCTGAGGCCAGGAGACCCCTTCCAAAGGAGGACCGAGAAGTCTGGACATAGATGCTCGGTGGGAGCGCCCACGGCCGCAAACCCCTCCGCCAGCCAGAGCGTGGGACCGGAGAAGCCAATCCCGCCTTCTCCCGGGGCTCTGGGTCCCGGCGCGCGGGCGAGGGCCGCTTCGCTGAGGCCGCGACAGTGCGGGGGCGGAAGAGAGGGTGGAGGTGCGGAATAGCGGTGTTTCCTCACCTGGGAGGTGATCATGATGCTGGAGTCTATCAGGAAACTCATGAGGAAGTGTGAGGAGGACTCGGGCCTCCACGTCCCATGCCCCCGGCAGCTCCACACTAGAGTCACTGACCAGCTCTCGCAAGCAGCCTTAACCGCAAGCCGCTGCTGGGACAGCTTGGGTCCAGTCCGACGCCATCAAGCTGCGCCCCAGCCAGCCAATCAGCGGTTACTTCCCGTGTTTCCTGCCTCAGGCAGGGCGTGGGCGGGGGCGGAAGCTGGGGCGCTGGGGGCGGGGTTAATCACAGTTGCTGAGGCTGAAAGGCGCGGGTTGTGATGCTGTGGATTGAAAATCTCAAAGTAATTGTAGCGCAAAGTAGCTTTTCTGTTTCAGAGGCGGAAGCAGGTCAGGCCTGAGAGTTGTCCGATTTTAAGTGGAAATTTCATTAGCTGTAATGATCATAAGATGAAGTTAACAGTTAGGCTGGGGGTTGTGCGTGACCCTGGGATAGATCTTCAGCACTACAAAAAATAAAAGTAAATTATTATAATGGTTAGACGTAAGTCAAACATGTGTCCTACATATTACAGCTTTTACTTGGCTCCCTAAATAATTTCATAACTGCAGGTGAAGAAAGAGTGGACAGGCAATTAATCTTTAGCAAAGGTGGCTACCAAGTACGTTTCTGATGTGACAATATAAAACCACCATGTAGTGAGACTCACATATAGTAATCTCATTGTGCTCAGTACCAATGAGACCACGGAGTACTGTTGCACTTTTTGTACAATTTTTTTTCCCCTGTACTGGGATTTGAATTAGAGCCTTGTGCTTGCTAAGCACTCTGTCACGTGAGCCACATTCCCAGCCCTTTTAACTTTAGTTATTTTTTGAATAGGGTCTTCCATTTATACCTAGTACACCTATGTAACTGGGATGACAGGGGATGACACCACATTCAACATTTGTTGATCGAGATGGCATCTCTAGAACTTTTTGCCTGGCTGACCTCAATCCCAATCCTTCCAATCTCCTCCTGAGTAGCTAGTATTATAGGCATAAACCACCATGCCTGACCCTGTACTACACTCTTAATAGCCACTTAGGGAGTGGGGTCCTGGAAGTGAAGCTCAGTGGTAGAGTGCTTGTGTAGTATGCCAAAAGGCCCTGAGTTTGATCCCCAGCACCTCCAAAAAAAAAAAGACATAAACATACTGGAGCATGCTAACACCAGATTAGAACCAGTGGAAGGAATTTAAGAAAGACAGCTTCATGAGAGGGAATAGGTAGAATTGATGTGACTTCAAGAGATATTTGTAGGGCAAAGGATTGAACAATAAATGATACATTTTAATTAAAAATAAAGAACAATTATTTAGGATCTGAAATTATTATTATTATTATTATTTATTTATTTATTTTTTTTGCACATTAAATAATATTTATGGGAATATCACACTGTATCACATAAATAACCATATCCATCACCTACATATCTGTTTTTTTTTTTTTTTTACATTTCTTGGTTTTGTTTTATTTTGTATTATAAAGGTTTCTTTTTTTTTTTTTTCATTTTCTTTTATTATTCATATGTGCATACAAGGCTTGGTTTATTTCTCCCCCCCCCTCCTTACACCCACTCCCCCCCCCCCCCCCCCCCCCCCCCCCCCCCCCCCCCCCCCCCCCCCCCCCCCCCCCCCCCCCCCCCCCCCCCCCCCCCCCCCCCCCCCCCCCCCCCCCCCCCCCCCCCCCCCCCCCCCCCCCCCCCCCCCCCCCCCCCCCCCCCCCCCCCCCCCCCCCCCCCCCCCCCCCCCCCCCCCCCCCCCCCCCCCCCCCCCCCCCCCCCCCCCCCCCCCCCCCCCCCCCCCCCCCCCCCCCCCCCCCCCCCCCCCCCCCCCCCCCCCCCCCCCCCCCCCCCCCCCCCCCCCCCCCCCCCCCCCCCCCCCCCCCCCCCCCCCCCCCCCCCCCCCCCCCCCCCCCCCCCCCCCCCCCCCCCCCCCCCCCCCCCCCCCCCCCCCCCCCCCCCCCCCCCCCCCCCCCCCCCCCCCCCCCCCCCCCCCCCCCCCCCCCCCCCCCCCCCCCCCCCCCCCCCCCCCCCCCCCCCCCCCCCCCCCCCCCCCCCCCCCCCCCCCCCCCCCCCCCCCCCCCCCCCCCCCCCCCCCCCCCCCCCCCCCCCCCCCCCCCCCCCCCCCCCCCCCCCCCCCCCCCCCCCCCCCCCCCCCCCCCCCCCCCCCCCCCCCCCCCCCCCCCCCCCCCCCCCCCCCCCCCCCCCCCCCCCCCCCCCCCCCCCCCCCCCCCCCCCCCCCCCCCCCCCCCCCCCCCCCCCCCCCCCCCCCCCCCCCCCCCCCCCCCCCCCCCCCCCCCCCCCCCCCCCCCCCCCCCCCCCCCCCCCCCCCCCCCCCCCCCCCCCCCCCCCCCCCCCCCCCCCCCCCCCCCCCCCTCCCCCCTTAT